AAACATAAGGTGAACAATATTGAGGACTAAGATTCAAAGTTCTCTGGCTTCTGCTTACAAACATGTGTACCTACACAGATGCACCCCACACACACACACACACAAATTTAAGAAAAAAAGAATGAAAATTTCATGCTGGGGTACAGTTCAGTGCTAGAACACTTGCTTGCTTAGGAAGCACAAAGCCCTAGGTCTAATCCTCAGCACTGCTTTTTTAAACAAGTTCTTGGAGTAATTAGAAGAAAACTGCATCTTATTATTTGTAGTATTGATTCATCCTAACACAGATTGTACATGAAAAGAATGAAGTTAGTCCTGCTGTGTAGTTGTATGCACCTGTTATCCCATCATTTGAGAGGTGGTGGAAGCCCTTCCTGGCCTGGAACTCCTCACTGTTTATACCAGGCTTGCCTTGAACTTGTTATTACCACCCATTTTTGTTTTTATTATTTGTTTTAAATGCCACAAACAGTCTGTATTGGTTCCAATAGTAAGTGGAAGAAAGGAGGGAGTGCATCAGGCTTCTGCAGAAGTACCTGTAGGTGGTAGTGGGGCTCTTCCTGTCTCCCCACTTCCCTTTTTTCTATATGAGTTCATTTTGTGTTGGCTCATTTTATGTTTATATATTCAGTATTCTTCCTGATCTTAATGTCATTTATTTCTTGAAGAAAGCACTAGTTTTTATCCCCAAATTTCCTCAATGTCCCTTTTCTTTCTCTAATGGAATGGTTTGACGTCACCTAGACTATTCTCAAATAGTCTTCACTGAAGCAAATTAAGCAAATTTTAAATTACCATGAGAATTGTTATACTTTCTATACACCATCAAGGCATATATTACACTGTCCCTTGATTGTGCACTTAGCTAACAAGCTGAATTTGTTGAGTATCAACTTGGTATCCAGGAGTGTGCATTCTTACATGCACAAACATGCATGTGTGGGCAGAGGTTAATATCAGGTGTTTTCCTCTACTACTTTCCACCTTATTTTTTGTGGCAGGGTCTCACAGAACCTGGAGCTCACAGATTCAGCTAGCTAGCTGGACTCCCCGGCCCTGGGCTTACAGAGTGCTGTTCTGCCCAGCTCTTCATGTGTGTGCCATGAAGCCAAACCAGGTCCTCATACTTGTGCAGCAGGCACTGCACTGACTGAGCCATCTCCCCAGCATCGACCTTAAGACATTGCAACATCATCTGTGAATTTCATGCTGGGAAATGATTCAATTGAGTTTAGAAAAAAATTAGCTTGGCACACCTTTAATCCTAGCACGTGGAAGGCAGAGACAGGCAGATCTCTGAGTTTGGGGTCAGTCTGGTGTACATAGTGAGTTCAAGGCCAGCGAGGACTACACAGTGAGAGAGGTCCGTCTCAAAAATATTTTTTTAATTGTCAAAGCATCCCATGATGTTTTAAGTTAGGATTTTGCATTGGGTCACATTCATACTATCCTTAGCCACATGCAGCCAGGAGTACTAGAGGAGTCTCCAAGGGACTATCGGATACAAACCTTGCCCCCTCAGAATTCCATCCACAGTATGAAGATGTGGTTTAAGGGTAGACTCTGGAGCTGGATTTCTTAGATTCATACTCCCAATTCTTCATTCCCTATCTGTGATTTTGAACAAGTTGTTCACCTTTCTTCCTATTCTTTTCCTCTGAAAGAAAAGGCTAATAAAATACTTATGCCACTGGCATGGTGGCTCACACCTTTAATCCCAGCAGAGGCAGGCAGATCTCTGTGAGTTCAAGGCCAGCCTGATCTACATAGTGAGTTCTAGGACAGCTGGGGCTACAGGGAGACCCAGTCTCAAAAAGACCAAAAAAAACAAAAAACAAAAAACAAAAAAACACTTATGCCATAAATTTGGATGGCACACTCAATTGTATTAATCCATTTGAAGCACTATGGACTGTTTCTGGCACACAGTAAGCACTTATTTTTAGCTGCCACCTCCACCACCACCATCATCATCATCCCATTGGGATCATAGATAAAGTTCTGAAGTAAGGACCAAGGTAGGACGTAATTGCCTGAGGAGTTAGGAAAACACATTTAAGTATCTTGAGTTGCACTTCAGTTGATTGTCAGGTTCATGTACTGTCTGGTCAAAAGCCAGTTTACAGTACTGTTCATAAATAGAAAAAGAGAAGAGTCTATAGAAATCACAAACTTCAGGGGCTAGAGAGATAGCTCAGGGGTTAAGAACACTAAGTGTTCCTGTAGAAGACGTGGGTTCAAATCCCAGCACCCACATGGCAGCTAACAACTGTCTGTAACTCCAGTTCCAGGGGATCTGACAGCCTCTTCTGTCTGCTGTGGGCATTGTACGACATGGGTGCACTTACCTACATGGAGGCAATACATGTATACACATACAATAAAAATAATAAATAAAATATTTTTAAAAATCATGAACTTCAAAAGAAGCTTTGATTAAAGTTTCCAAGGAGGTCTTTGGCAGCTTTCCCCTCTCCCCAGTTCAGGGTACTCCTCTTCTCCTCAAGCCTGTCTGGGTCTGTTTACTTCATGTTGTTAGCTGGATGCTTGGCAGTTAAAGACTTGAGCAAATAGCGTTCTCATTAATCCTATAGATAAGATGTTAAGAACCAGTGAGTCGTTGGTACCTTTATATTGTCATCAGAAGGTTTTTCATTGGGTTTCTCTGAATTCTGTAAGAAACCACAGATAATGAAGGAAAAAAAAAAGAGGAATTTGTTGTTTGGGAGAGAGTGAATGATTTTGAAATACAGAGTATTTTTTACTTAATTTTTGAAAATATTTTGAGAATTTCATACACAAGTACTGTACTTACATCATTTCCACTGCTCCCACTCCCCTCCCGTTTCCCCTCAGAGTCCATTTAGTAGTGCTCTTATGTACATGTTTTTAGGACTGATCACTTGGATAACTTATCAGGTGGCTGATCTCTGGAAAAGACTGATTCTCCCTTTCTCAGTAGCCCCCTTGATTGCCTATAGCTCCTCATTTAGGGATGGGATCCCTACCTATGTTCACATGTTGACTAGTCATGTCATTATGCAGGTCAAAGACAACCATATTGTGGAGGTTTCATGGGTGTGGCTTCCCTGTCATGTCTAGGAGACACTATGTAGTAGCAGGCCCTTGGCTCTTACAATCTTTCCGTCACCTCTTCTCTCCGTCGAGATTTTTCAGTGGTGTTTGGGCAGCATAACATCATTGGGAATGGGAAGAAGGGACAAAGAGACAAGTGATAGGATGTCAACATTTATTTTATCTCTTTCAGAATGCTAAACTGTCAGTGTTAAGTTGTCCATGTTATAGATGAAGTAAGCTCTTTTTGGCTTAAGGTAGGCAGCCAACTACCATTCACTGCACTTGATTTGGGGAGATAAATTCCAGGTTCCAAATAATTGAAAGTCTGTCTTTTTAGTTGTTCTTGTAATGTATCCCTGTGTAATAACATAAACAATAATAGCTGTATAAATTCAGAAAAGATTTGTTCATGGGGGGTGGTTGTAGGGTTGGAGGAACAGGATAGGTAGGGAAACGGGGCCTGAACTGGGCCTTTTCTTACCTCTGAGTGGTGGGAAAGTGAAGAGGTTAAAGGTATGCAGCTGATGACAAGTTTGACTGAAGAAAAGTGGAAAACATTAGATGAGATTAGCTCATCTGTTTCAATAATATAGCTGAAAAATCTGAAGTCTTTTCTTTAGGGAGTAAGTTTTCTTTCTTTCCTGCTATCTTATATTACAGATCATCCTAAATTACACTTTCTTTTTCAGTATAATTGAATTTTGTGACATTTTATGATTTCAAAAAATAGATTAAGTGCAGTTCTCAGTTCTCATTTGTTTATAGAACTGGAGGTTTCAAATTTAAGAAACTTTCCATTCTGAAAATCACTGTAGGTAACAGGATCTCCTAGTGATACATAATGCCACAGTCTGGCTCTACTGAACATTGTAACAGTGCATTTTGTAGGCCCTGAGTTATGAAGAAGCCAACCTTGAAAAGTACTCTTTTATGAAGGATAGCTTTGAATGGATCCAGAGCCTTGATCCCTTTCTACTGTTTCGGTTCATGTTATAGATGTAAAAGATAGCATTTTTTCCACCCAACTGTGATAGAATATGGAAAGAATAAGAGAAAGTTCACTAAAATTTTACAGAAGCTGGGCTGGGGAGATGACTTAGTGTTGATCAAGCACTTGCCAAGTGAGTGAGAGTACTGTAGTTTGGATCCCAAATCCCAGAAGCCAGGCAGGCCTGGCAGCTGCCTGTAAACACAGGTGGCAGAGACAGGGAGAGCTGACCAGCTAGACTAACTGGAGTTGGCAAGTTCCAGGTTCAGCAAGAGACCCTGCCTCAATAAATTAAGTGGTAAGCAATTGAAGACACCCAACATCAACTTCAGGCCTCCCTGTGCATGCCAGCACACATACGCACAGACCTGTACATACATGCATTCACGCACATGTGAACATGCATACACACACTATATATACACACAAAAATTCACAGAAATGGATTCTTTTAGAACTAATGGCATGTAATGTATATATGTTTTCAGGGCATCTATGAAGTGTGTATGTGTGTGTATAGTAAGAAATTCACAATGCCTACCATATGCCACAATATTTAGCTACTTTGAATGAATTTTTGATTGATGTCTGATGGTAATATAAAGTGCAAATGAAGATTTACAAGTTATTTTTTTTTAAAAATTCTTATCTGTGTCTGATACATAGCCCCAATATAATTCCTTATAAGACTCGTGAAGTTTAGCATCCATTGTGTCTGTCCCAATGGGTGCCACATCTAGTTGAATTTCTCTAATATTGTGATTTGGCTTATATTTGCATAAAGTTTTTTTCCCCAATATATTTGTAAAAGTGGAACAATATATCCAGATTAATAATTTCAAGAATACTTAGAAAACATTTGTGTGAACATTTTATTTCTAAATTCACCATTTTGATACAAATACCCATGGTTTTCTTCTGTGTTTACATGCAGCCAGGAGCTATGGGCGGAGACGAGGTAATTTTTTTTTTTTTAATGAGATCTTTTGCTTGCCAAATTGTGAGTAAATATGAGTTTGTGTGTGTTTATACCTGCGTGTATAAAACAGTAATTACTATATGGTGTGATGTTCCTACTTAATTATTTTAGCAAGGGTAATTCTATTACTTTTATCATAATTTTTTAATTTATTGATAATTTGTTCTTTTAATCGTAATAAAAATATGGCAAAGACAATTCTATCTGGAAGTTTTTGTCATGGATTTTTGTGAATGAATATGAGGAAGTATATGTTTTGGCTCTATATCCCTTGTGTTCTTTTCATACGATTTAGAGAGCAGAGGCTGAGTTTTGGGGGGACAGTTTTTGATTTTGCTAGGTTGGCTGGTGAATTTTTTTTTTCCATCCTGATGCAAGCTTCCCCTGAAGCCAAGAGAAGCTTCAGTTTTGGGGGCCCACACTTGCATGACTTTCATTTGTGTAATGCTATAACCCTTCTTAAGTATTCCCATGCCTTAACTTTTTACAAATTATTTTGTGAAGTAGCAAGAGGAAGCTTAGCCTAATAGGCAAAGGTGAGATTTGGTGCCAAACACCTAGATTATAATTATAATCCATTACCTAAATCTGATTTCCTCAGCTGTAAATTATTAGGTAACAAAACCAATTTTGTCCAACTTCATAATATTAGTGAAGTTCTTGGTCTAAGCAACAGGTGGGCAGAAAACTGATACATATATATTAAAAGCATTCCACAAATGTAAAACTCCTCTGGTGCTCCATTGAAAAAGCTGGGGGAGATGAAGTTGCTTGCTTGCTGAGTGACTTTAAGTTAAAGCTAGTGCCAAAATTGGAACCTGTCTTTTTGTTTCATATTTGCTAATGTTTAGCATTCATCAGGCTGCCTCTGATTCTGATTGCCATGAAGAGAAGCTAATGATACCAACTTGATAGACTTTTATTATTTATTCCATAGAAAATACTTTTGAATAAATGAATATTGGCAGAAGTTAATGTATGTTTGATAAAATATTACATATAATCACTTTTACTTTGGGAAAAACATGTGCTTGATAATTTTTGAACCATGGAAATAAGTATCATTTTTGGCCTTTATTATTTATTTTCTTATTATAATGCTAGAGCTCAAAATCAGTCTCATAGACAGTAGGCAAGTGACCTTTCACTAAGCTGCATTTCTAGCTCTACCTCTCTTATTTTCAAATTTAAAAAGTAATGTCCTAGAGATGTATTACTATTTGTACAATACTTCATGTTGGTAGAAAAATGATCACTGCAGGAAGCAGCAGGAAATAGTCTATCTTGCACAGAAGATAGAGGCCCTCTGAAGAGCAGACAGCGAGGACTGGCCTCTCTCCTCAAGTACTAGTCACTTGCCAACGTTTGCCTCTAGTTTCTTAGGTCTTGCCCTTCCTATTTCAGTTGCTCTCATTTCTGCTGTTCGTTTCTAATGCCCCATCATTGTGAAACACCATGTTGTCCATGTCTTCCTCATTCTCCATATAAGGTTCCCAGTTAAGGTTCACCACCCTCATCTCCAGTTTCACTCCATCTTCCTTTGATCAATCCATTCTCTGGCCATTGCTGAGTACTGACTACCCATCCTTTTCTACTTACCAAGACCTAGTCTTATTGTATTAGTTCAAACCAAAGTCAAGCCTTGTTCTTGCCCAGTGGCCTTAGAGATGGTGTTTTCCTCTGCTGAAGATAAGCTATTTAAGACACTTATGTCTTGTGCCTAACATGATGCCCATGTATAGTCAGGCCTTAATAAATACTTATTAATTAGGATCACTTTGAAATGACATTCTCATATCTATACAGAATAGTTTGACATCATTATTTTTAAAAATAATATTTTAATGAATTCTTTGAGAATGCCATATGCTGTGTTTTGATCATATTCATCTCCTTCCTCCAAACTCCTCCCAAATGCACCCCCACCTTCCTACCCACCCTACCTACCCAACTTTGTATCCCTTTTTAAAAAATATTTTATTATTTTTATGTGTATGTGTGTATTGCTACATGTAGGTAAGTGCACCCTTGTCATGCAATGCCTGCAGAGGACAGAAGAGGCTGTCAGATCCTCTGGAACTGGAGTTATGGACAGTTGTTAGCTGCAATGCGGGTGCTGGGATTCAAACTCAGGTCTTCTGCAAGAACATCCAGTGTTCTTAACTGCTGATCCATTTCTCCAGCCCTGTCCTCTTTTTTTTTTTTTTAAAGCCTATCAAGTCCAATGTATGTTGCCCAAATACTCTTGGCTATGAGGCCATCTACTGGAGTATGGTCAACCTACCAGAAGCCACATCCTTAAAGAAAACTGACTCCCTCTCTCAGCAGCTATCAATTGCCAATAGCTCCTCAGCCTTTTGAAAAAGTTGTGTGGAAGCTTGTACTGTAGAAGCTTCCTAATATAGACATAATACATATATAAAAAGAACTTAAATGGATTTAACCCTTTAATAGAGGATGGTAGGAATCTCCCTACTAGACACCACAGGTTAGCAAATAAAAAACCCAGTGCTGAGAATGGGTTACCTCTTTTGTAGGTGTTGGCCAGTGGGGACCCATAGATCCCCCCAACCCCAAACATTGCTAGCTATTGCCACTGCTCTTGGTTACCCTCTAGAACTTGATGATAAGACCCTGTTGCTGAAGACACTACTTACTTGAGTCATAGAACATGGGGAAATCAAGATGGTACTGACCTTGAAGTTTCATCCCTACTGGCTAGTTTTCATAGCGCTGGGAGGTGCTATGTATGCCACTGGAAGAGAAAAATAATCCTCAGCCTTACCCATCTGTGAACCATAAGTGCTACAATAATGACTGGCCTGGCCAGATATATACCCACTGGTGTAATAATGACAAAAATGCTGTGGAAGTCATCAAGCAGTTTCTGATTAGATTTAAGGCCACCAAATGGAATCCATACCTGGCATGCTTATCAGGGCCAAGAACCTATGGCTAGATAGGTCATAGACTCTAGGAAAGAACCTACTATTGCTATTCTGCTAAATGGACATAGCACTAAACTGACTCCTAATGACCATCACTGTACCCATAGATTAGTGCATCTCTCAACCCTCATCGTAGAAGCCACTTCTTGCAGTAGATGGCTATTAATCCACAATGGGCAATATGCAGAGAGTAAGAGACTGTCATAGGCAAAATACTTCTTGAATTATTAGCTGAAACAGTGATGTATGATTATAGTTCTGGTCATTCAGAAGGCTGAGGCATGAGGATCACTTGCCAGAGTCCAGGGGCCAACTTAAGCAACATAGCAAGCTGTTATCTCCAAAAAAAAATTAAAATACTAAAAATTGCTTATCAGACATGGTAGCATATGCCTGAAATTCCAGCATTTGGGAGGCTGAATCTGGAGGATTAGCTCAAGTTTGAGGTGATCCTCGGCTATATAGCCAATACAAGGCCAGCCAGCATTACATAGCAAGGCCCTCTCTCAAAAATCAAACAAAAAGGACCACACCTCATGCCGCACACCTTAATCCTAGCATTTACAAAGCAGAGGCAGTGGATCTCTATGAGATCGAGGCCAGCCTGTTCTGCATAGTGAGTTTCAGGCCAGCTGGGGTATAGGGAGACCCTATCTCAATTCCCCACCCCAAAAGCCAAGTGTGGTTAGCACATACCTTTAATCCTAGCACTCTGGAGGCAGAGGCAAGCAGATCTCTGAGTTTGACGCCAGCCTGGTCTTCATAGTTCCAGGCCAGCTAGGGCTGCATATTAAATGCTATACAGAAAGCATATAAAATCATCTATAGTTTCTAAGCTCCTAAAAATGTTTCCTTCTTCAAATTACCATCTCCATATCTATTTGTAAAATTTGACTTTATTATATTTGAATGCCATGATCTTCCTTGCATCAAATGCTTTGCTAAATATTGCCAAGAATGACTTGATCCCTGTCTTTAAGTGTGCAGATTGATAGTTAGCGAGGAAGAAGGGAATGAGAGGTGAAGGGAGAAACACTGAGAACTGAATGGTGGCAGGTAGAAATGTTTGGTCCACAACTTTTATTTAGTCTTCCATTCCAAGAAGGAAGGCAACAGATCACTTCCTTAAATATCTTGTTACCATGTAGGATTGGGGTTGGTGTCCTCATATCTAATTCTCTTATGCCCAACCTTACGTAGTATAATTTAGATGAACTGACACTATCATTTATTCATGTTGTGAGGATTAAATTAACATCAGATTTTTTTTTAAAAAAAAACACCTAAAAAAACAAACTCACTGATCTATATACTTTATTCTACTTATGATTAAGAATAGAACCTTAGGGCTGGTGAGGTGGCTCAGCAGTAAAGTACATGCTCTGCAAACCTGACAACCTGAGTTTGATCTCAGGAACCCATGTAAAGGTAGAAAGAGAAAAATGACTACACAAAGTTGTCCTCTCTACATGGGCACCCACCAACCCACATCGTATACACAATAAGTAAAAAAAAAATAAAAACAATAAAAGAGTAAGATTTCAATTATAACTCATTCTGTGGTTATATACACATGTTGATATGTTCCCATTATTCCTATTCCTAAATAATTTATGTGAACGATTGGAGTTCTTTTAGTAAGAACCAAGCCAGTGGAATTGTCTAATAAGTCTAGAAAGGCTTCCTAGAGTTAGTAGAATTTCAGGAACTATTTGGATACTGGAAGAGGAATGGGAAGCAAGGCACTTAGTGTATGATTCAACTTGGAAGAAAGCTTAGAGATGAGATTGACGTGGCCAGATGCTTGGTGCACATGTCCCTGAATTTGTGCATGGAGCCCGCTGGGGAGAAGTTGGCAGTGAGGTGCTCTATGCTGTCTTCATGAATCACTTTTGAAACAGAAGGTGAGTCTCTGGGCACAGATGTGCCAGACTTTTGAGAGAGGATTTTTTGATAAAAATAATGAAAGAAGGAAAGAACTTGGGTATCAACCAGAGGCTTGGATGGGAGTGTTGGAGATGGACTTTTTGA